TATCAAATCCTAAAATGTTACTCTATCATCTCAGGAAAGGTGAAATTGCTGCTAAGATGGAAAAGGGCAAGAATGTCGAAGTGAAAATGACTGAGGAGAGTCTAAGGATTAAACTGCGTCGACCTAAACAAGAGATTCGAGAGATGGGAGAAAGAGGAATAGAAGTAGAATTAGCCACCGCAGCTGCGCAAGCCAAAAGTGCAGCACTGGACGCGGAGTTAGCGGCTGGCAAGATATGCTATCATGAATGAGGAGACGGTTGCTATGCGGAAGGAACATGATGCCTTCAACAATGACATAACCATGAGGCTTCAAAAACTACCTGGAAAGTACCCTTTCTTCAACCAAGAGGCCACCAACAGCTGTCCTGAAGGCACTGGACCTGAATCTGTTGAAGAGGAACTTGAGGAGGAAATTGCCTATAGACCTCCTTTCAAGGGACGGTGGAAAGAAGAGAATGAGGAAACCGTCCCCGAAGCATATGAGTTTACCCCCCCCCGGCTAATACGGCAGTCAGAATAAGAGGTTTCGATGAAGCCACCATCTATCTTTTAGGAGTTTAATTATCTGGTTTTCACTTTCCTTGTAATCACCAGAAATGAATGAATGAAAATGAAATTTTCCTTTGTATTCGAACTACATAGGGCCTGAATTCTCCTTCGGAGATACGTAGGCAGCCTTTCAAGGCCCGGCCCATATCTTTTTCAAATTTCCTTCTCCCCCTCTTTCATCTTACAAGGAAACATTAAGTTCAGATCAACAGATGCCAGAAGATAGCAACAAGAAGACCTTAGCTCAACGCAATTTAACCTTTCTGAGTCACTAGCCTCAAAATAAAACGAGCAAACTTCTGATTGTTCAAAAAATCAATCCCTATTATTCGTGGGTTAACGTGTCCTCAAACGAAGCAACTCTTATGTGTTTACATGCCTTATATGTGATATCTCGTATTATTCATCCAGAATTGATACTGACAGATTTGCCTTTGAGTTGTTTTTCTCTACAGGTGGTTAGAACTGATATGTGCTGATACACTGGCCGATCATCCTTATTTCACTAGATCTAAAGGGCCTACAGATTCCTTTCCCAGCCAAAGTTCCCAAAAAGGAAAAGCAGCAATAGGTGATAACAACGAAAAAATCGACCTTACTGATGTCGTGGTAGCTCAGCCCGTCCTTGCCGATCAGAATGAACTGATCTTGCAGTTGATGCAACAAATTGCTTAGATAAGGATCGAGATACAGAGAAAACAAGATTTGCCTCCTCCTATTTTTACTGTCAATGCTCAACCAGACGGAAGACCTCCAGCTCAAATTCCCCCTCCTAACGTGGAACAAGCTCAGAACCCGCCTTCAAGTCCTGCTCGTAATCCCTCCAACATTGACCTTACCACCCAAAACCCCCATTACGCCTCAGCCTCTTATCAAACACCACCCCCTCCTCAAAATACCAACTTCCAACCACCACTCCCTTCCCCCAATGCAAACCACCAAACTGGTCTACCCCCTCAAAGCCAAAATGTTAACCGCCCGCACATTTCCCTCCATTACCAAAATCAACATACCAACCCCCAGAGTTTCCCTCAAAATTACCAAGCCACTAATAATGCCCAAAGTCCCTACATCGCTCCACCACTACCACAAAAAGCCACTTTC